AGTGGAGATATTACCAAAGACATTTTCAGATTATAATCCAATGACTTTAAATTTTAAAAGGAAATATGGATCTGTTAGATAGATATTGAATGAGAGATTATTACAAAAAGAAATGGTGGTGGTGGATTGTGAAAAGAAAAAGGAATGTTTTGAGAATAATCTTAATAAAGATACAGAAGTAAGGATAGTTTGGGATGCAAATAAAACTTTTGTAAGAGAATATTTTATACAATGCAATAGTAAATTTAAAAAAGACAAGACAAGAGAATATGCAATTGATTTTATTTGAGATTTTTTAAAAAAAGGAAGAAGAGTTAAAAAAAAATCTCCAGGGATGTTAACTATAACTCACCAAATTAAGCTTTTACAGAGGCAATTATCAGTGAGAGAGATGGAAATAAAGATAAACTTTGTAAAACAAAGACATTTTGAATTTGCAGATAAATCAGGGAGATGGTTGGCATACAAGCTGAAAAAAGAAAAAAAAAAGAAAGTGATATTAATGTTACAAGAAGGGAATACTGTAATAACAGATAATATGAATATATGAAAAGTGTTTCATCAGTATTATACTACTTTATACAAAGGTCAAGAAATTTCCTTGGAAAAAGTGGATGAATACTTGCACAAACAGAATTTATCAAAGATTAATAAACGACGATCAGACGATCAGAGACAAATTTTGAATAGACCTATAACAATAAGGGAGCTGTGTGAAGCTATCAAAAAGACTAAAACAGGAAAGGTACCTGGTCCAGATGGGTTGCTGGCCTCTTACTAGAAATGTTTTGAAGATGAGCTTTTACAACGTTTACAACAAATGATGAATATTATTTTGCAGAATGAAAAGATTCCTGATAGTTGGAAGGAAGCTAATATAACATTAATACCTAAAGAGGAACAAGATTTGACTTTAACAAGAACCTATTGACCAATATCTTTATTGAATAATGATTACAAACTGTTTACCATGATTTTGGTTGAAAGGTTGAAAATAATTTTACAGAATTTTATTCATGAATATCAATGCAGGTTTTTATCAAAAAGATCACTAAGAGGTAATATTAGAAATGCTTTGAATATTCTGGAATATTTGGAGCAACATAATGAAAAACAAGCTGCACTGACATTGTTAGATGCAGAGAAGGCCTTTGACAATTTGAACTGTTTTTTGTTTTGTTTTTCTGTTTAGAGTTCTGTAACATATGAACTCTGGAGATAATTTTATTAAATGGGTAAGGTTGATTTATACTTCTCAGAAAGCCCAAATAATTGTTAATGAAGAACTAACAAAACCTTGTGAGATTCAAAACAGGACAAGACAAGGATGTCCACTGTCTCCACTTTTCTTCATTTTGTTTCTTGAGATATTGGATAAAGAAGAAAGACAAGATCAGAGAATTATGGGAGTTAAGATTAAAAAGAAACTTTTAAATTAAGGGCATTTGCGGATGATTTGGTGTTAATTTTAGAAGATCCACTAGAAGGTGTAGAAGCATTAATGGGAAAATTAAAGAACTTCAGTGTATTAGCAGGTTTCAAGATTAATAATCAGAAGACAAAGATGTTAACAAAAATATGAAATGAGAAGATCAAATAGAATTGATGGAGAAAACTGCTTTTAAGTCTGAGAAAAAAGTAAAATACTTGGGTATTACTATGACAAATATGAATTGGATGTTATTTCAAAATAATTATGTTAAGACATGGACTGAAAATAAGGACATTTTAAGATAGGAGAAATTAAAATTGTCACGGTTGGGGAGAAATTCTGTGATAAAAATGAATATTTTGTCAAGAATGATGTTTTTGTTTCAGCAAATACCTGTTTTAACAATGGATGTATCATTTAAACAATAGCAAAAAGACATATCTAAATTTATATGGCAAGGCAAAAAACCACAAGTTAAATATAAAATGTTACAACATGCAAAGAAAAGAGGAGGATTGGGTTTACAAGATTTGAAATTGTATTTTGGTGCTTTTTGTTTGGTCTGGATGAAAGAATGGATGTTGCTGAGAAACAAGAGACTTTTACAGTTAAATCGTGACCTGAGGTTTGGATGGCATGGATATTTACAGTATGATAAAATTAAAGTTAATGTGGACTTTAAAAATCATTTTATTAAACATGTCATTATTAAGAACATGGAATAGATATAAACCCAGGTTGTGCCTGAAAACACCT